TCTGGATTTGAAGTACCCTTGACTGCTGTATTCTGTGCCTGGAGCGGATGAGATAGATGAAGATGCTTTTTGATCATTTGTGCTCTGGAAAACCCTCTAGTACTCATGAGGATTTTCCTGCTTGAGGAACAGAAGTCAAGCGTATACATAGATAACTAATTCTCTGTATTATGCCAAAGAGCAGAGAAATATTTGTGACACATACCTCACTACTTTTAGTGAATGAGCAGCAAAAGAAGGTAACATTGCTGTCACACACACACACACACACACACACACACGAGAGAGAGAGAGAATTAAGGCTGTCTCATTTTCGAAATAGTTTTAGAAAAATATGAGCATTGTCTATATTAAAATTAAACTGTGAAACTTAACATTTTAAGTTTGTTGCCAACACTATTGCTTCCTTAATTTATTGAAAATATCTGAGATTTATCCAGCAGTGCAATTTGGGGTTCCAGAATTAGGGTCACAGGTTTCCCATTCCTGATGTAGGAAGTCAGGGTCAGTTTAGCACTCTGAGGAGTCATTTAAGATGGTTCAGGAGTTTAAAAGCATTGGAGAAAATATTTCCTTTTTAATGGTGTGTAATCAGCAGGCTCAGTCATCAATAACATCACAGGGTGATCCACCCATGAGGTGGGATAACTGTTCTTGATGTAAGCCTGCATGTAAGCAAGTAACATCCAAAAAATTAGGTGACAACCACTAGGAATAACCTTGAGAAATAAAAAGGATATAGCCATTCCTTTCATGCCCGACAAAAGTGCGGATTTAAAGCAGGATGGGGAATCTGTAGCCCTCCAGATGTTGTTGAACTACAACTTACATTGTCCCTCACCATTGGCCATGCTGGGTTTTGCTGATGTGAGTTGGAGTACAACAACATATGGAGAGCCAAAGTTTAAAGATTTAAAAGAATCTTGGAATTATGGGACATTGAGGAATGATGCCTCCTTATTCCAGCCAGTGTTTTTGAAATGTTAAAGCAATGGGTCTTCTCCATTCAGATGTCAGTTGCAATCATTCTCTAAAGTTTAATTTACCATTTAGTAAATGGTGAGGTAAAGGGACCCCTGACCATTAGGTCCAGTCGTGGCTGACTCTGGGGTTGCAGCGCTCATCTCGCTTTATTGGCCGAGGGAGCCGGTGTACAGCTTCCGGGTCATGTGGCCAGCATGTCTAAGCCACTTCTGGCAAACCAGAGCAGCGCACGGAAACGCCGTTTACCTTCCCGCCGGAGCGGTACCTATTTATCTACTTGCACTTTGTGCTTTTGAACTGCTAGGTTGGCAGGAGCTGGGACCGAGCAACGGGAGCTCACCCCATCGTAGTATTTCTCTAAACCCAGACAACAATGAAAGCAAAAGAAGCCATTTGTGTTCCAACTAGTAGATGACTGCATAATAGACGAGACTTACAACAGCAAAGAGAAGACTAAAAAGTTACCTGCCTGGCTTCTGATGTTCATTCTTTAAAAGTCTTGCTTTTATTCTTTGATTCCACTTGCCCTTTTCTTTTAAGGAGCCTTTAAGGTAGTTGACATAATAATAAAATGCAACTTTTAATTGCTGCATGGGTTGGGCAGGAATTCATGGAGAATGCAGCTGGGGAGGGAAGCTTCAATCCCCATAAAAGCCAACACTCTCTGGCAGAGGTGGGGAACTGGATCTTTCAAGTCTAGTTGGTTTGTGTGTGTTTGTAAGCCCACTTGCAGGTTTCCTCAACCCTAGTCTGCATATTCATTAGAAATAAAGATCCCCAGAGCCAGCTGTTTCAAGGTAACCCACCATAATGGGTTGCCTTCGAAATCTGCATGAAAAGTTCATATTTAGAATGTAGGATGGGAAAGCCGAGGAAGAGTTTGAACACAATACAACATTAGGAAATGGAACCTGCTGTCTCGAAGGTGAAATGGGGTCTCTGAGAGTAGGTGATCCTGAAGCTGCAAGCTGAGTCCTGGAGCTAACCAGAGTGCTGAAATGACCAAGTTCCTCTGTGTTGTAAAGCAACACCTGAATTAGAATGAGACCTGCCTGCATAGCTCTAATGAACTGACAGTTAAATATGAGAGAGAGCAGTAAAGGCGTGTGAATTTATTTCTTATTTGTTTACCTTATTTATTCATGTTCCTATAATTGCTGCATTTTTGTTCACATTTGTACATTTCTGCCCTGATTTCAGATGAGTAAATCTGACGTTGCTTCCTCACCAAGAGGTTAATAATGCTTACTGATGCCAGCCCAACCTGTAACTTCCTTACGTAGTGGCCTAAACTAGAATGCAGGGCTTAAAATACCAGTGCTTACACAACAAGCAGTAGTTGTGAAGCTGTGTAAAGTGGATGAGAAAGAACACAGGTGAGGTTCCTCTAACGTGAAATAGTATGTTCAGACTTTGTTGTCATGGTTACAAATTATTTGCAATAGTACTGTTGTCCTATATAAGCTACTACACTATGCATCTCATTTAAAATACAGTGGTACCTCAGTCAGTGAATGCATGTACACATGAGTGTGGGCATTTCACCCTCATGCAAAGAAATTAAGAAAAATTAGCCACCCATACACATCCAATTAACTGATTTACACGCTTAGAGGAACTTGTCTCAGAACATTGTTTTACAACTGTTGCCATTATATGAATTACAGTGGTACCGTGGTTTACGAACTTAATCCGTTCCGGAAGTCAGTTCTTAAACCAAAACCGTTCTTAAACCAAGGCGCGCTTTCCCTAATGAGGCCTCTCGCCGCTGGTGCCCTTCCACCGTTTGGATTCCATTCTTAGACCGAAGTAAAGTTCTCAAACCAAGACCCTATTTCCGGTTTTGCAGAGTTCGTAAACCGAATAGTTCGTAAACAGGGCTGTTCTTAAACCGAGGTACCACTGCATTAGTATTTTTATTTACTCACCATGTGGCTCTTTTGTGAAGAAGAGAGAAGGAAAAGTATATGATAAAAAGAAGACAGCAAGACAACTTAAGCTGATAATAGGACACACCTCAGGGGAGCAGGACATCAGGGAAGGAATGGAAGGGACATATGCAATGGCCTTTTTAATTTTGAAATCCAATTTGGGAACAGTGCACACCAAATCCTGGTCAGTGCTCTAACATACATTGGATCCCCCAGTTGATGTTCAAATTTCCTCAGCAGCAACCCAGTGGAACAGGGAATAAAGCTTAACGCATAAAACCACACTCAGGGTTGTAACTGAGGGGTCATCCACACTTCTGGTTGCCCCACTGCTTTCCCTCAGGAAAACTGCTGAATCAGATCAAACATCAGTTGGGTTTTCTCCAGATTGATGTTTGCTCTGATTTTCTGCTAAAGTGTGGGCTTTCCAGGGGAAAGTGGTGGGACAAAAGCAAAACTGCTTGTACCCATGCCTAGAAAGCATGGGGCAAGTGGAAAACTGCTCAGACTCATGCATTCTAGGCACAGGGCAAGTGGAAGTGTGGACAAGCCCTGAAACAAATCACTTGGTTTGTTTATTAACAAAGTCAAATAGTATTATTAAATTGTGAAATAGCATCAAAAATAAAAGAAGTTGCATAAAAAATAAACAAACAAACTTGCATATGATGAACTTTAAAGCAATTTGATCTATTTTGCATAAACTGATTAAAATGAAAATGGAAGATCTTCATAGGATTGGAACACCAAGAGGACATTTACTGTCTTATTTGGATAATTAAGAAACCCAGATAATGAAGTTTATATTATATTAAAAGAACAATAATTTCAGGGAGTCTACTTTTGGTTTCAAATAGTTCCAAGTTTCTGTGGGACTTTGTAATCATGCATAACATTATGCTGTGGGTCACCTTAGTACAATTAGTAATTTCTCCAAGCCACTACAATGCCCCCCTCCCCGCACCCAAATAGCACATGTAATAAAATAGTTCATATAATGGGGTTCATCTCCCGATGCAATAAGCAGTCAAGCTAGGGCATCTACCATATTCATGTGAATTTAATGCGCCTTTGAATCTAATGCACACCCCAGTTTTCACAACGTAATTTGGCCAAAAAAGGTGCACATTACATTCGAGTAAATATGATAGTTTTGCTGTGATTGTTTCAGCATAATGCAGGCATTTTTTTACTGGGCTGCTTCCCCCAGCCAATTTTCTGTTTTATATATCTGCCTGTGCAGTGCAGCCTTGCTCTCCTCAGTGCATGATGGAGACTGGGGTGGCTATGCAAGAAGTAAGATTAATTATAACACATATGGATGAAACCACTAATTACACACACTCTCACTGCATGCTTAGTAAAAATAGCTCAACTGTATTTGAGTTCAGTCAAATCAAATAGCACTTTCCTATTGAATTATTTGACCTATGCAGTGTACTCGATCAGAATTTCAAAAACAAGCAGCTTTTCAAAAGCCAAAACCAGTATGGGGGAGAGGGAGTAGTATTAGGCCCATGCAATACCTGTTGTTGAGAGTGCATGCACACACCCAAACTGCATGTGCAATCTGTAAACAACCACATCTATTTCCTACTCATTTCCCCAAGCTATATTGTTTCTATTGAAACCATCATAGGCAATTCTATGGAATGTGGAGCTTAAATAATTGTTAATAGACCCCAGCTTGCTGAGTAGTCTGTCTGTTCCTTGATATTATTAATAAGTGACATTGAAAAGGCAGTTTTAAAGCACATGTTATATAAGGACAGTTTATATGCAAAGCCATCGCTGTGTGATTGACAAAGAAGAAATGAACCTCTAATTTGCAATCATTAAATCGAATGCTAAGTGTTTTGACTGAGATTACCAGTTTCTGGAAACCTCGGGATGTGCGAGTGCTCCTGTGCTCATGTCTTGCTTGCGCACTTCTCATAGGCATCTCATTGGCTCTGGTGAGAACAGGATGCTGGACTAGATGGGCCACTGGCCTGATTCAGCAGTCTCTTATCTTCTTATCTAGCCCAGTGCTATCTCTACAAACTGGCAGCAGCTCTCTGGGATTTCAGAGAAGGGTCTGTGCCAGGCCCACTTTGAGATGCTGGGGCTTGAACTTGGGGCCTTCTACATGCAAGGCAGGTGCTTTACCACTGAGCTGCAGGTAGGCAGCAAACTTTTTTTCATGTGCAGAAATGTGTCTTCAGCTCACTCACAAGTGGGAGCTTGGATGCAGAATTGCTATTTATTCCTGTATTCTTTGTCACCATTTCAGAGAGGCTATTCATACTGATATATAGGTAAAGGTAAAGGGACCCCTGACCATTAGGTCCAGTCGTGGCTGACTCTGGGGTGGCGGCGCTCATCTTGCTTTATTGGCCGAGGGAGCCGGCGTACAGCTTCCAGGTCATGTGGCCAGCATGACTAAGCCGCTTCTGGCGAACCAGAGCAGTGCATGGAAACGCCGTTTACCTTCCTGCTGGAGCAGTACCTATTTATCTACTTGCACTTTGATGTGCTTTTGAACTGCTAGGTGGGCAGGAGCAGGGACCGAGCAATGGGAGCTCACCCCGTTGCAGGGATTCGAACTGCTGATCTTCCGATCGGCAAGTCCTAGGCTCTGTGGTTTAACCCACAGCGCCACCCGCATACTACACACACATATATAGATATATAGTCCCACAGTAAACAAATGGTATCAATGCAGCCTCATGCCAACTAGCTAAAATCTTGCTGCTTAGGAGAGCTTTTGAGCCATGAACACTTTTTGAAAGATGCTTTTAAAATTTGTTTTCAACTTGCTGCATTGTTTTTACTTGCTAGAAGATGCCAGATTGTTTTAATGGCTGCTTCATTGCTGTTTAAAATTTTGATGTACTTTGATGTTGGCTGCCTTGAGTAAAGGTAGGATATTAATGTTTTAAATAGGTAGGTGTTATTCACCTTGTACTGAAATCCAAACACGTGTCCCACATTATTCTATTATTTCTAAATCTGGAATGAAGCTCCTTAAGACATTGCAAAATATAGCTGCATCTTATTTGTGGCCCCAGTGGAACCCTGTAGATGTGGCATGAATGGACCAGAAAGGGATCTACTTTAGTCTAGCCGACTTGCTCAGGGGAGAATTTGTCGGACAAATAAAATTGTTGGGGACTTAATCCATTGCCTCATTTAAAACTTGCAATAATTAGTACACACACATTAAAAATGATGAACATCTCATCGGTTTGAAAAGGGCAGAGAAGATGGTTCATCTTAATTAAAATAAAATTGTGTTTTCTTCCTCATCAATATAAAGGGGAGTGATTTTTTTTTGGGGGGGGGAGGAAGTGATTTGAGTAACTGTTTAATATTCCATAAAATTTTTGTGGTATTTTCATAGGCTTAACATTAAATCTTAATCATTGCACAAGGTTGCTATCGGCTTTGATCTCTTGTCCCAGTAGAAAGATTGTGCGCATGAGTCTGCAAGACCTTTTGGAACTGTGAAGTTCTAATTATCTTTTGTTCGCTGCTGCAGGGTTTTTGTGTCCTTGTGCCAGTCTCTTTAATTGCACAGATGTTTGTGGACAGTGAAACTACCTGGAAAAGAACGTAGGAGATTAAGAGAAGAAAAACTGCCCTGGACCACTGAGAGCTGGAAAGTGTCTGGGGGCATGCTTCTAAAAGAGATGTTTCTGTGCCTCTTGAGAGCAAAAAGAAGCTGCTTAGAGACAGCAGACTGGATCCTTGTCTGCTCTGTCAGTCCTGGCTATATTGCACCATAAATTTAATAGAGACCTGGGGAGTGTGCAAATGCAAGGCATCGAATCCTGGGGAAGCCTGAAAGCGATTGTAAGGCAAGAGTTCTATATACTAGTTTTACTGGATGTGCGCATTTAGCAATACTTTAATATGTCCTTTTTAAATTTAAAAATAAATGCAGAGATATGCCAGAACAATCTCTGTCACTTGCCCTGTGGTGCACTGCCTTTGTATGATTAGTGTGAAGTCATTTATTTATTTATTTATTTATTTATTTATTTATTTGAATATAGATCTATCTATCTATCAATCTATCTATCTATCATCTATCATCTATCTATCTAATGTATGACATGGATGATGACATTAGAACACCTGACTGGAAGAAACAATAGAACATGGCAGATGGTTTCCTATCAAATCAATAAGCATTCTTTATCAGAAATTATTTATTATTATTTATTAAATCCATAAACTGACCTTGATCTGAAGATCTCAGGGCAATTCACAAGATAAAGAAAGCATTGTTTATGCATCCAGCTTAGCAGTGTCCTACCATGAGGAATACTTTCTGAGGCAGCACTCTGGAAAGGGCAGTAGATTTGGATCTGGATGCCATGCCCGCCTCCTTGCCACCTCCCTGCTTGCTTGAAGCAGCGGTGATACCTCCTCCCTGAGAAAGTTTCTTGATACTTGCATATTCCTTTCTATCATCCATCCAGGCAGGTACTCATCTATCTCCCCCCCAACCCCAACCCCCAACATTCCTCCTCTTTCCATTCCATTGACCTCTTCCTCTGTCCCCTTTGCAGCATGGGTTACAGCTGGAGACTGAAGCTGTTCTCTTGCAAAGGCAGGAGCCTGCCCATCAAGAGATAGCTGTACATGCAGCACAGTACTTGAGCAGGACTGTGTGGGTTAGTGTTTTGATAGAGGTACAGAAAAGCAAGGTAAAATAGGACAAAGTGCAATGGGGAGGAAAACTGCTGTGAGTGAAGCAAGGGAGACAGAATGGAAAATGAAAATGGAAGGGCAGAAGGGCTGAAGGGGACAGGAAAAGCAAGGAAGGCTTTGCCTATCCTCCTCCTTTCTTCTTCTACATTTTGTTCGCCTTGTTTCACTAAACTCCCTCCCCTTATTTCTCTGTGTTTATAACTAAAGGCATGTTGGCGTAACCAGACATAAGAAGAGGTTAATTTCCTTCACGGAGTATAAATCACCATGGATGAGCTAATCGTAGGTGCAAGTTCAGCCAAGGCAGTTGTGATGATAATGGCCCAGTGCCTCGACTATATCTGTGATTAATGTACGTCAGCTCAGTTAGTTAGTATGTGAGTCATCAGTCTGTTGGTGTTATTTTGTCCAGTGTTGTGCTTTGAATTCCTGGAGTTTATTTGGAGCAATGGAGATACTTTGTACTCGTATGTAGCTGTATATAACTGTATCTAAGTCCAGAACTGTTTTACTGAATGTTATCTTCCGTAACAGTAAACTATTTTTAAAATAAGATTTTATTAAAGCTTTTTAATAATACAATAAGTTAAAAGAAACCAATCTAAATATAAACAGAAAGAGAAAGAGAAAACACCAAATGAAAACCAAAAAAATGTAGAAAAGAATAAAAATAGCAAAATATTTAATCAGTTATTCAGGTGTCATGCTGCTATTGTGATTTCTTTCTTTCTTTCGTCAATTTGAATCAGGTAACTAAAATAGTACAAAATTTTACAGAATTATATAAACATCATGTTCAAAACATTCTTGCAATTCATGTGCATTATACCTTTCTATTTTTATGTCACTTGGAATATATATTAACTAAGGTGCCAAGAGGATTAGAAATAGTCAAGATCATTTTCATTTGCATCTTTCTGTAGCTGTAAACTGTAGAAAGGCCTCATCTGTCTGTGAGCTCATCAGCCTGCATCTTCTGCCAAGAGCTTTGTGGTGATAGTCCTTATTAGATCTAATCTCTGGTGTTGGCTGTGACATTGCTATGCACTGTACAAGTAATTTAATGAGACTGAGGAATCCATATGTTAAAATGTTTGTGGTTTATTTTAGTTTGGATGCTGGATTGTTTGACACAATGAACTGCTGATGAAGGAAAAATTGGGAATTAAAATGTTTTTGTCTGCACCACTCAAGAGATCTGGCTTCAAAATATCAGTTTAGAAATGTGCAAGCCAAGCAAGAGTAAGCTTAAAACTCTATGCTGATAATCCTAAAACAGTCACCCTTGAACACTAGTAGAATGATAGGATATAAATCTATGTATATTAGTTTTGTTCTAGAAACAAAAGGTGGAGAATGGACTGTTTATTGCTTTGCGTATTTAACTTGGTTAAATGAAAGTAACTTTGAACATTGCAGCATAGCTTCCCAAAGGTACCCAGATTCCTATCATTAAGACAATAAGGTATTGTCGCACCACAAAAAGGCTGTGTACAAAAATAATTTGAACTGTCAAAGTGCACTTGTGCTTTTTTCAAACAAATATTACTTTCTCCAGGATCTTAGGGAAAACCAACTGCACATTTCTAGCAGATGCTTCTGTGCACATCACTGATTGGCCAGTGATTGGGAGTTAATAAGTCCCCTGGTTTTCCGATGATTAAAAAAAATGATTTATTTTTTTTTAAGATAAGGAGACAACAAACATTTAGTTCAATAAACTTGCACGTATCACTTCCAAAAATAAAAAGGCAAACCTGAAGCATTCAGCATTCACATTACTGGCAAATTTCCATTGAACTTCTTATTAAAGTGAGGTGAAAAAAACCCCATGATGAGTCCCCGTCCCCCCCATACACTTTTCTTCCGAGCATAATATATTACAATAGACAAGGAGAGAATAGTACAGTGGTACCTCGGGTTACAGACGCTTCAGGTTACAGACTCTGCTAACCCAGAAATAGTACCTCGGATTAAGAACTTTACTTCAGGATGAGAACAGAAATCGCGCGGTGGTGGCGTGGTGACAGTGGGAGGCCTCATTAGCTAAAGTGGTACCTCAGGTTAAGAACAGTTTCAGGTTAAGAACAGACCTCCAGAATGAATTAAGTTCTTAACCTGAGGTACCACTGTATGATGAGAATAGCAACGACACAAGGCAAAACTGGAAGAGGATGGAGACATACTGTATTATATCTCAGCAGAGAGGGCGCTCCGTAGCACTGGCGCCACCAGTGAAAAAGCCCACCTCTATGTAACCACAAGCAATGGGGATTCAGACTTACATAGTTATCAAGTGATTTGCATAATATGTAAAATAGGCTACCTAGATTTGGGGAACAGGATTTCCATATCCCAGCTTTTTCAGGTTCATTGCCCCTATCCACTTGAAGTACCATATCTGAAGCCCATATATTTGCCATATTTGAAGTCCATTTGCCATATATGAATTCCATTGCACAAAGAGCA